ATCATTTGACAATTACAAGTTCTAAAATAATCAATTGTTTGACAATTACAAGTTCTAAAGTAATCGAATTTGTAATTATCAAACTATTGTGTCAAACAACTGACTTTGGGGAGGACTATATCTACTTAATATCTGGAAGCTTCCTAATAATTCTATATTGCCTAGCTATATTAAAGATCAACTAGGTTTGATTATATATTATTTTATATTAACAAAATAAAAATAAAAATAAAAATTTAAATTTTTATAATTAAATTTATAATTTTAATAAAAGTTTACTATTTACTACTACTAATAATTATCATTAGTATTGTTATATAGAACTTCTTATAGCAAAAGGAGAAGATGTACCAAAAAATTAAAAATTTTATTCTTATATTAATTTTATTCTAATCAATCTAATTTTTTAAAATATTGAATTTTTTTAAAAAAAAAATTTTAGCTTATTTCTCTCTATTGAAGGTTCTATATTTTAAAAATATACTAAGTAAACAAAATTAAATATTCTAAATAAAAATAATTAAAATTTCTAAAAACTTTATAAAAAACTAAAATTAGAATTTTATACTAATCTTTATTATATTATATATATATATAAACTAGGAAAACAGGTGCTGTTAGTGTCTGAAGCTTTTAATTTTACAAGATTTTCTATTTTGTCAAGCTAATCCATGTCGATCTGTTATATTAATTTAAACTCTGATTGGATATATATCACGTGAGTGGAACCCAAGACATTTTGTATATTTACGTCTCCATTGTAAGTTCTTGCTACGCTTTGGACTATTAAGGTTGATCTTTAGTATAAGTGGGTAATATAGAAATAATATAAGATTATAATATATAAAAATAGCTATTTAAACTAATTTAAGCAAATTTGAGATTAGTTAAGGTTAGAGTAAGAGTTATAGTATAATTTATAGTTAGATTAAGGTTAGGGTTAGAGTTTTTTTATATTATAATCTTATAATATTTCTATATTGCCCACCTATATTAAAGAAGATCCTAAATTAAAATTAGGTAAAATCTAAATAGTGTCCTTATGCATTTTGTGCTCCTTCTAAGTTTTAATAGCAAACAAAGATAAAGACTAACATTAGGGTTAAAGTTAAAGTTAGTGTTAGAGTTAGGGTTAGTATTAAGAATAGAGTTTTTTTAGGCTAAAATTGTGAGAAAAACATTTTTCATTAGTTATACAACAGGGGTTACTTTAGTAAAATTTTGAGATATTGGCAGTTTTTATAGTAAGAAGCACATAGTGCATGGAGCACTATCTAGTCCAGTTTTAAAATTATACTCTAACTATAAAAATTCTTAGAAATATTAATAACTACCACTAGTAATATATAGTAATTTTTATTTTAATATTATTAAATCGTTTTTTTAACTATTTTTTACCAGAGATAATTTAACTACCATATTAAATTTAGGGTTAGAATATTGTTTTGGATTTGTTTTTTTTATAATATAATATATATTAGATATTAAATACTGATTTTGGTTTTTGTAAAGTTTTTAGAAATTCTAAATATTTTTATTTAGAGTATCCAATCCAGTTTACTTAGTATGTTTTTGAGATATAGCACCCCTGGTAATTTAACCATGGGGGCAAGTTAGCTATAATATATTAAATTTATTTAATAAAAAACAATTGTTATATTATATTATTGTAATATATTATATTTTAAAAATATTTTAAATTTGTTATAAATATAATTTTTAATTTGTTATTAAATCATTTTAGTAAATAACTTAAATAATGCTAGAATTATTTAAATTAAATTATATAATTAAAAGTTTTTATAAATATTTTTTAAAAATTTTTTATATTATATGCATGCTTCTGCTTGGTCCCAACTTATATAACAATTATAAAATTTAATCTCCCTAAGTGCACATCTCCTCTAAGTGCACATTTTGCATTTTTTTCACTATGGTGTGCACTTAAGGGGTGCGACTGTATATATAATAATTAAATTTGGTTTAATATAAAATTAGTGTAGGTAAGTCTTTACTTTAGTAAACCACCATAATTGTATAGCTTTATTAGTTTTGCATATAATAGCCTTATAATAAATATATAAATATAATATTTATTGCCGTCTAATTTATTATTTTGAATTTATTTATTTCTAATAGTCTTACGTAATATTCATTAGAAGAGAATTTTTTACCATAAATATAAACGTTTAAAGATGTCTATTCTAACAAAACGCGTATGGTTGTTGGTAAAAAGTTTTTATTTTATCTTAACAGTTAATGTAAAGTATGTTGACGTATGTAAAGTGTGCTGACGTGTGTAAAATATGTTGACGTGTGTAGATCTGTTGACGTGTGTAAAATATGTTGACGTGTGTAAAGTATATTGACATTGATAAATCAGACACAAAATAACATATTTTCTCATGATAATAGATACATGATAACAGATAAATTTCAATCGTACAGATAATAGATCTTTCAAACCTTTTTAATATCTTATATTTTTTAAAACTTGTATTAAACTTTTAAATGCATCTGACAATTATCAAATGTATTACCACTGACGAATATTCTTTTCTTATAACTAAAACTAAAAAAAAAAAAAAAAAAAGAAAAAAAAATCAAGGCGAAACATTACATGCGAATATTAAAAGAAAATATCTAATACTTTTTTTTTTTTTTTATCTACAGTTTATCTATGCATATTTGTTGTTATTCGTCAACAAAGCTAGAACTAAAATCGTTTTTAACATTTTCAAAGATTCCTTTATATCCAGAGTTTTATATTTAGCAGTATTAGTAGCTTAAATTGGTTTTAACTATCATCAATAGTATTAACCTATAATAAACAAAATCAACATTAATGATAATAATGTTGAGGTATTTAGTGTCAAATACGATTAATGAACCAGAAGTTATAGTTAAATAATATGAAGTTTGTAAGAAAAAATAAGTGATATTATTAATGAAATAATGCTTACGATATTTGAAGAGGAATCAGTTGCGTTAACTAATTGACAAGACCGAGAAGCTTGCTTTTGCCAAAATTTTTCAAGAAGAGCTGTAGCATTTCTGAGGTTTCGAACAGGTTGCCAATCTGGTATCAAATTAGTATCTTATATAATAAATAGTTATATAAAGAAAGTATTATAACCTTAGTAAAAACTTTAATAAAAACAAAGAATCATTATAATAATATTTAAACCTTTATAAGCTAATAATGCGTATTCTTCATCATCATTATTTCTAATGGCTAAAATATCAGATACCATAACTTTTTTAAAACCAATTTCTTCTCGTTTTTTAGTACAGTTTAATGAATCATTGATATTGGAACGTAAAGAACGAGTTCTGTTCGAAGTATTACTTTTATATTGAGCGTGTCTATGTCCTTATAAAAAGGTTTACTGAAGCAACAATCTCGTTTACTTAAAAAAATTTTATACCCCTTATTCGTAATAATGACTTATGCTACAAGACTTTTAACTCGTAAGCAAATGCAAGGAAACGATAAACGAAAGTAAGTTGCATATTATAAATGAAAGGAAAGAACTTTACATACCAAAGAATAACTATCACACATAAAGGTTATATTGTTTATATCTAATTATTGGATATCCTTTAAATATATTAGTGATGATATAAAATCAAATAGGATTAAAAAAAAAGCTATTTCTAAAAGGGAACACACACCCGCTCAATATAAAAGTAATACTT